TGAGAGGGTTAAAATATAACCCTTAGATTAATTTTCTCTCACTTGATTAAATCCCAAATTTTCTCTCACTTGATTAATCTAAGGGTTATATTTTAACCCTCTCACCCTCTCATAATAAATTCCTCTCACTTGATATGCTCCCTATATATATATATATAGTGTCCATGAATATTTGTGAATATTTATTATAATGTAAAATTTTAAATAAAAAGATAAGATATAATTAAATAATTATGGCATACTCCCTCTATTCCATTTTGTTTGATACTTCAACACTTCTTGTTTATTTCAATTCGGTTGCCATTTTATAATATCAATGTAACATCAATTTTTTTAATCATATATTTAACCATTACTAATGCATTATTTAATTATTGGTGAAAAACCCAAAATGTTTAATTAAGAGTATGTTCATGATTTATTTTATGAAATGTATTTATTGTATTTCTTAATTCTCGTGCCAAAACCTTAAATATCAAATAAAATAGAACAAATGAAGGATATATTTATTATAAAAATAAATTAGAAATTACTCCATAAATAAATAAAGTATCATCCACATCCTAATACTAAGCAAGTACCTTATAACTTGTCTTTATCTTATTATTAAGCAGATGCACATTCAATTATTGTTACACATTAGACAAGTATACCAATTATCGTAGATAGTAAATTGGACACAAGTCTAAGTTATCAAATTTATAGGAACTTGAATTATAATTATTTAATTAAATTTATGATACTAAATGGATAATTTAGTAACAATTTGAAATTGTTCAACAAGAAATATTAAATTTAGTGAAAGTAAAATAAAGTAGTAAATTAAAAAGACTTCAAATTTATAATAAGAATGATCAAAAATTGATTCACTAACTTTATCTATGTAAACCTCTTAATTTTTCATTCAATGTTGTAATTATACAGTTAATTCTACAGCCTATAATTATATTTAAACCCTAATTTTTTAGGCGAGAAAGTCTAGGTTATTTAAGAAAAATCTCAATTATTTAGTAATTTTTGTTAAGCAATTCATACATTAAGGTCAAGGATCAAAAGTTGACTAATAAGATTTATCCCAATTGATTAATAATAAATATTATTAGCATTTTATCTAGGTAGTAATTTTAAAAGGGTTTCTCAATCCCAATTAAAAATTATAAAATCATGAATAGAAGTTGATCAAGTCACAACAAGTATTAAGTACATGAATAAAACAATTAACTGGATAAAGACTTTATTGAAGGAAAAAAAAACATAAAGAAATTTATATAGTTTCAATAGCTACCTCAATCCAACTGTAGAGACTCAGTTACTCATGACTAAGGATTACACAATAAAAGAGAGAATTTGAGCAATATATGATTATAAGAGTAATCTCACAAGGACTCTCTAATCTCTTTAGAATTATGCTAAGAAAAATATTGAATAATTGGAATGGAATACAAAGACCTCCTAGAGACCTTATTTTTATTACAATTCTGATTGGCTTTTAGGTTTGATACACTCACTCAAAGTGCCCAAGTAGCTTGCTCTGAGTGAGCATGTACATGCTTCCAGGGGTGCTCTTTGACTTTACTCATTGAGAGTGCTCTTAGTTACTCATGACTAGAATGGAATACATGATTACACAATAAAAGAGGGATATTTAAGCAATACATGATTATAAGAGTAATCTCACAAGGACTCTCTCTAATCTCTTTAGAATTATGCTAAGAAAAGTATTGAATGATTAGAATGGAATACAAAGACGACCTCCTATAGACCTTATTTTTATTAGAATTCTGATTGGCTTTTAAGTTTGATACACTCACTTAGAGCACCCACATAGCTTGCTTTGAGTGAGCATGTGCATGCTTCCAAGGGTGCTTTTTAACTTTACTCATTCATAGTGCTTTTGTGGTAGTTCTAAGTGAATTTTTCTCACTCAAAAAGTCCAAGTAACTCACTCTGAGTGAGCATATGTATGCTTTCATATCATTCAAAGTGTTCTTGTGGTAGCTCTGAGCAAATTTTCACTCAAAGCGTCCAAGTATCTCATCCTGAGGGAGCTAGTATAGTCTTCTGGAGTTGCTCTCTAACTTGGCTCGCTTAGAGTGAGTTGTTGATCACTCTAAGTGAATTTCAATAGTTTGGAATGATGGTTCCCTTTTGAGACTTATTGCTTCCAAATTATTTTCTCTCTTTCTTATATCTCAATAAAAAAAAAAAAAATTAAAAATACCTAATATTTAAACAATTAAATCCAAAAATAAAATTCACTCTTGACTAAGTGTTTTGTGACAAAAACAAGATTTAGAAGTATAAGATATATTAATAATTGTCTAATTTAAATAAAAATTGTATATATATTTGACTATTATCAACTATTCATTTTGAATTTATAGAAGGTTTCATTTGCAGATATCAACTTTTTTTTGTCATCCATAATCACAATGTAATTCGTGACTGATGGAATTTGATTATAAAATAATATTAAGAAATAAAAGAGTATGCAATATTCATGCCTTTTAAACCAAGATGTCAAAAAATTGAAGTATTAATATTTGACTGTTAATACTAGTGTAGATGTTATCAAACTTTTGCTCTCACTTACACTTAATATGTATGTTTGTCTATCAAGGGCTTTTGCGCTGTGGAAAAAGTTGTCGTTTAAGATGGATCAATTATCTTAGGCCTGATGTGAAGAGAGGTAATTTTACACCAAAAGAAGAGGAAACCATAATAAGGCTACATAAGGCCTTGGGAAACAAGTAAGTCTTTTATTTCTCAAATCATAAAGATAATTCTTGTTTTTTTTTTTTTCTCATTTTGTGGTACAACAATATCTAATGATGGTTTCTACAAAAATTGGTTTTAGGTGGTCAAAGATTGCATCAAGTTTGCCTGGTAGGACTGACAATGAAATCAAGAATGTGTGGAACACCCACTTAAAGAAAAGATTGACTGCCAAAAAATGTTCAGATTCAAGTGCAGATGAATCCAAGCCAGAGTCATCAATAACTTCCTCCTCTTCTTCTTCATCTGAATCATTTTTCTCAAATGAGACACCGAATTCACCGAAGACCACAACACTTGGTAATGAATTTAATGACCAAGCATCACAAGTGACAGATAAAATTGAGCAGGATTCAGATAAACAAGTATCTAATGAACTTAATGGCATCATCACTAAGGATCCAAAAGAGTCATCAGTTTCTTTTTCATCTATTGGGTCAAATATTGTAACCACAAGCCAAAATGTTGCATACAAAGAAAAACAACAATTGGCTTCTCCATTATCTTACCTAGGACCCTATGATTTTAGCAGTATGTTAGAAGAGGTGGATAAACCAAACCATCTATTTGAAAGACCCTGGGAATCAGATTTTGTTCTTTGGAAAATCTTACGTGATGATAGCCTTGGATCTTTCCAATCAAATGAAGTCCAATTAGGTGAGTTCCTAGCCTGCCAAAACAGTATTCTTGGAGAAGAGATTGTTCAAGATGTTGAAGCAAGGAAGTGGTTCCATGATTTTGAGGATGAGTTTGGAATTGTAGATGAGATAAAGGAGTCAAACAATGATCATTTCCTGCCAAAGAATTATGCAGTTGAACCAGAAATAGACCACACTCAGACATTTGATTTTGATGACATCACAAGACCAGAATCTGAATTAGACTTTGGTTATATTCAATTATGGTCATCTTGGCCTCAAAATACTAGTCTTTAGTTTAATACAAACCACTAGTTGGAAAAGAAGTCCATTTTAGAATAGTGAAATTGTGATTTATTTAGTAGGTACACTAACTATGGTAAATTAATGAAGCAGATCGGGTCGTTTTGATATATGTGGGTTTCATGTATCCTCCACAAAATCAAATCAGAACAAGTTGTTGATTGAAGCATAAATATGCAGTATAATGTATTGAATGAATTGTTGGTAAACAACAACTATCACACTCACTGAAAGTGGGTAGGTGATATTCTCTACTTACTGCCACTAGTGAGACATTTTTTCTTCATTTCCCCACACCTTTGCAGAATTGAAACAGCCTTGCAAGTACAAGACTTGCATCGTATTTACCAAGTCAATTTCCGGTTGGAAAACAACTCTAGAGGATTTTTGTGGGGAGACAGAGTTGAAAAAGAAAGTTAATTAATGGAGTGGTTTGGCCTATTATTTGTAAGCCAAAGAGAGAAGGTGGTATTGGGTTACGCAGTACTCGTCATATGAATTCTTCATATGTGATGAAAAATTGTTGGGAGCTGTGCAAGTGTTGAAAGCTACATATAAGGTTGTGTTTGAATTGAAGGATGAATTTGGGAGAGTGGAAAAGGAAAGATTTGAAGAGAAAGAAACTGGAAAGTGAGATTGTTTGGATTAAGGGAAAGATAGTGGAAAGTGGGTGGAAAGTTTGTAAAAATTTGTGTAGAAATTAATTGATGTGATAGATAAAAATAAAAAATTTAATAGATGAATATGTAATTTACACTTTTACCTTTGGATTAAAAATGAGTAGAATATTATTTATTGTAAATAATAATAATTACAATAAAATTATATTAATAGGTATAATTTATTAAAAAAATAATAAATAATGATAATAATAATAATAAATATTAGAAAAATAATAAGAATCATAATAAATAATAATGATATTAATTATAATAAATAATAATAATATTAATAATAATGATAATAATAATATTTATAATAATAACAAAATATATTATGATAATTATATTTTCTACATTATTTTATTAATGTTTATGAAAGTGTTATTATTTTAATTTTATAAACATGTATTATTTTATTTTTTTTTATATTTCCACTTTTTGATGTCAATATTTAAATAATAGAATTTTCTTAATATAAAAAAATGTATAATAAATTTTTTGAAAGTTAATTAATAAATTAAAAAAATTGATAAATCATTGACATAAATTAAAATGAAATGAAGATACATTTGTTAATTGTACAAGTTAATTTTTATCAATTAAAAAATTAAAAAAAATTACTCAGAACAGCCCATTCTTAGACCAGAACGGCCCGTTCTAAGATTACAAATTAACCCACAACGGTCATGTGTGAAACGGCCTGTTCCCAAAGTGGAACGGCCCGTTCTGAGTTCGGTTCGCATATTGCTCAGGAAATCCAGTGTTGGAACGAACCGTTCTGAGTTCGCATATTGTGCACCTGGAAGCAAAAATATGCCACCATAATCGATTATGTGCCATGCATAATCGATTATGCTGATTGGGGGTATTATCAGTTTTCTTATTTCTTACATGACTTTCATCTCTTTTCTTCACAATTTCGCGAGGAACGGTCACGCGGGTTCTCCCGCTTTTCTTTTGATGCAAATCAGCGGAAACAAACGTCAACTTTCTTCACCTTTCATTCGTTGTGAATAGTAAATCCCCTAAAACAAAAAGGGGCTAAATGTGGTAATGATGATAGTATTAGATATATTGGTACTGAAGATGTCCATCTGGTCTTTGATTAAGTAGAGTCCAAAATGGATAAGATTGAATAGAGTTTTTATGCTTTGTTTCGAAGGGTGGGAGAAATTAAAGGGAATGGAAGAGATTAAATGAGAATTAATTTGATAAGAAATAGAGTGAAATTTGTAATTATTTAATAAAGTAGATTTAGATAAGAAATAAAGAGAAATTAATAATTTATATTTTTATTATATCTAATTATTATTTAGTAGAATGAGATAAAAAATAAAAGTAACTAATGTATAAAAATTTATCTTTTTCTTAAATTTATAGCAAATCTTTTCTCTTTAGAGAGTACTTTTTTTTATGAGGTATACCTCTATTTATTCTCAAATCTTCACAAATTACTCTTCTAAACAATCTAACTTTTTTCAATTCTCTACAAATCATCGCTTTTCTCTTATAATCCACTCTATATCATGCCTCCCAAACACACTCTTAGGAAAATAGTCGACAATAGAAAATCTATCTAAAAATTGACCATAATTCGAATAAGCTCATAATTTCTAGGGACAAATCAGAGAATTTGAACTACAATATATCCATGAGATCCATTCTCATAATCAAAAGTCCACCACCTTTTGTTTATCTATATAAACACTTATGTTTTACTGATTTCAAAGACTGTGAGACTTCATTCTTGTAAACTACTTCACAAATACAACAGTTTTTTTTTTTGTGGAAAATTGCTCATGAATGTATGCAGGAGCGTAAAGGAATTGGTGTTGTGGCTATGTGTCCCATTTCATTTCTAGAATTTCTCTTATTACATGCGACTTTTTTTGCGACTTTTTATGAAAAATTCGCAAGAAATGTTGTTCCTACAAATTTTTATGCAAAATTTTATATGCAAGTAATACCTTCGTGAATAATATATTTTTGCGAATTTTAAAATTCACAGGAAATTTTCCTGCGAAATTTCTTGCGAAAAAAATTCGCAGGAAAGTTTCCTGCGAAATTTCTTGTGAAAAAAATTCGCAGGAAAGTTTCCTACAAAAAAAATTCGCAGGAAAGTTTCCTGCGAATTTTTTTGCAAGAAATTCTGCAGGAATATTTTTTACGAAAAAAATTAAAGAAATTACTATAAATTCTATCAATAATTCTTCAACTTTCAAATGCTCACAATGAATTCATATGAAATTTGTTTTCATGCCTCCAACATGTGATACATAATCTTTTAAATTTTAAGGTTGTGGATTATAAATCTAACACTCAACCATACAAATCAACTTGTAAGGTAAGTGTTGCCACAACTTATATACTTTTTAATTGTTTTATTTTCAATCGATGTGGAACTTGAAGTTTTTTTAAAATATTAAACTTATAAATTTTTTTTATTTTATTTTTCCTACGGATTAAAATTTGCAGGAAAAGTTACTTGCAAAATTTTTCTACCATTTAGTAAACATTCTTTGCGAATTTATTTTTGCAAGAAAATTTACAAGAAAAAAAAATAAAATTCTTACAATATTTTCTGCAAATTTTTACCATAGAAAAAAATTTCTATGATTATTAAAATTGTAGCAAAATTTGTAAGAAATATCTGTAAATTATTTTTCCCAAAATAAATTCGCAAAAAATTTTTGCGAATATTTTTTTATATGAAAATTCACAAAAAAATTTTGCGAATATTTTTTTGCAAGAAAATTCGCAAGAAAATGACACTTTTCTAGTAGTGTTTGCATAGTAGCTAATGAGACAACTTAGCATGTCTTGTGTTTAGGGTTTTAGGGTTTTCTTCCAGCCCATTTTTCTAGTAATGATGTGCGCCATTGGATACAACAGAATTTTAAGTTTGCATCAAATCTGTTGGAATTGGGGAACTTTATTTGTTGTTGGGATTGTCACAATTCGGCATATGCGTAATAGAATTATTTGGAGTGCTATAAATTAAATTGTGATGGTGTTGTAAACCATGAATAGCCTCACGTGGTGGTATAGTTCGAGATAGTGACAACACTTTTGCTGTTTTATCTTGCAAATTAGGATATTGTTCAGTTGTTAAGCATAATTATGAGCAATTTATCCTAGTGTAAAAATTGTGCGTGATAAAGGTCTTATTGGGACAATTATAGTCGAAACTCATTCTGCAGTGGCAGTGAAGTTTCTTAATGAGGGTGCTTTAGATATCATTTGTGCTATTCCTTGGTAAACATGGCGGTAAGTATGGTGGGTGAAGATTATGAAGCAACATATAGCCAAGTCTTTAAAGAAGTTAACCTGGTTAATGATAGTGTGGAAAACGTGGACATATGTTAGAGTAAATTTCAAATCCTTCATCTTAGATTCAGATCTCTTTGATTCCTGATGTTTCATTTTCTTTTCATAACTTTTAGTTTCCCATTGTGTGAGGAAAAAAAAAAATGCAGTAAGAGTAAGGGGTATCATTAATTCTAATTTAAGCCATTTTGGACTTGGGGTATGAATTTGGTTAGTTCATTTCATAATATACTTAAGTTAATTATAGTATTTTTATTGTTGATGATAAATGTTAATATATTTTAAAATATTAAAAAAATAATTAAGAAATATCAAAGAATGATTATGAGTGAATAACAAAAAATTCGAGGATAATTATGTTAACAATTTACTATTTACAATTCATTTAATTAACCAACCAACCACCTATATTATGTCTTTTTGTCTAAACGATAGATTACCTCTCGTAAAAGGAAAAAGTATAAATAATCATATTTAAAATTTTTGGATGTACATTTTATCAATTTAATTAGTCTTTAGGTTTATATTTCATGAATTAAGAACCATGGGAACATTAATTTGACTGAAAAAAGAATATGTATTAAACAAATTTGACAGAAAATTTGAGTGCTTCTTCTAATTCTATTAAACAAGCCAAGGTTAAGAAGAAAGAAAAACCTAAAAATCAAAGGTGTTAGGATTAAGATCTTCAACACAAAAAGTTGCTATATATACATAGAGAGAGGACATAAACTAGTGGTGTATAAGCCTTGAAAACCAAACTAGTAGTGCTTATTGCTCGGAGCTGAAGGAGGGACTGTACCCTTTGAAAGAAGTGCACGATGAGGATGCACCCTATTATTATGCCAAGGTGTTGTGCCAAGACCCAACAAAACTTCACTTTCTGAGCCTGACATAGCAGCAACGCCACTCGAAACCACTATAATAAACAAAATTGCAAGGTGCCAAGAAGAATAATACGTGCCCATAATTATGATCTTTCTTAATTCTTGCTACAAAGTACAAACCAAAGAATTTATATTGCTGTCACAGTCTTTACAAATGGCGCATACTTGGTCTATGTTGTGCTATATTATCGAGTATTCCGGCGGCGACGCATTGCAGTGAAATTAGCGATCCTCAAGTTGTTAACTTTTGAATGATCCCCTTAATTAGTTAATTTAAGTCTTACGCAACACATTTTTCTAATACATTTTGTTTACCTAAGTTTTTAATATACAAAAAATAAAGTTAAAAAAACTTAGACCATATTCTTAGATGTACCATTTTGTACTTTATGAGTGTTATAATGTACTAGCATTTCTGATATCATGAAATTGGTATGAATCAAAGTTGCACCTCGCAATTTTATATATATTTGATGTGCTGTAACTATTCATGCAACAGAGATGCTTGTTACATCGAGATGAACCTATGATAGTAGGGATTTCTTTTTCTATTTTTGTATAGTAGGAAATAAAAGAACATTTCCACAGGCTAAACATTTTATACAACGTGGCCTCAAATGTATATACTCATTCATCACTCAAGAAGTCACAGGAAGGGAGCAATTGAGACGAACCTGACCTTGTTGTCCAGTGAGAACATCAAGATTGGACATTTTCAACATGACCCTTGCAAAATCCATGCGAAAGGTTGATCCATCATCTGAGGCATAAGCAGAGACCAATCTTGCAGTTTTCTCTGCAGCCATGAGTTGCTGATCAGCAAAAAGGAGTCCTCTTCCTCTCAACAGGCTCTGATAGTAGTGAGTGTCAAATGCTGCTCCTGATGAGACTGAAGATGAGAGTGCTTGCATGTATGAAATCCCCATCTTGGAGTGAGCAAAATGATCACTGTCCACTGGCTTTGAGGTCACAAACTCATCTTCACTGCTGCTGCTGCTGCTCATGTTCCTGCTGTCTGGGCAGTTTTGCCTCATCTGACCAAGGAAATCAAGGGGTATGCTGGGATCTGCCTGTCCTGTGCCTTGAAAATTGTACAGCCTTTGCTGAATAAAATCACAACCAATTTTCCCAATGTTGTGTCCTCCTTCACATCATCAACAATCCAATCCATCTCATTAGTCACATTCTATTACGTCAGAAACAAACTTTATGATACGCTTTCCTCTTAACACATTCTCTCATTAGTTAAAATTCATTGAAAAACTGTAATTTCATTAAATAGAAGTGATACCTATCAAATTTTGTGATTTTTAATAAATTTCAATCTATCAAAGAGTGTTCAAAAGAGTATGACTGAGAGTGTGTTTCCCACATTTCTTATAGTGAGACTATATTAAAAAAGAAATAAAAATTATGAGGACAGGATTACAAAATGTGGAGTAACTAGTACCAAGAAGGCTCACTGTCTCCCTTGCATTGAATCCTCTCAGATTGAAGAGATGCAGTGTGCGTGTAACATTATCATCAGGTCTGGGAATCTGATCAGTTGCTTCCTCATAAAATGACTGATGGCTATCCCTTCTTCCTGTTAAAACTGGATAGAAAGGTCCACCAGCCTGCCATGGCCATGTGCAGAAAACATATCATAGGTGCAATAATGCTGAACTTTTAAGAAGTGAAATACATGCAGCAAAAGTTATATCCTTAAAACACTTTTCTACCCCAAATCATGATATCAATACATCAGAACTAAGGAACAATCTGAGAGGATTTAATGCAAGAGAAAAAGTCAGCCTTCTTCGTCTCCACATTTTGTAATCATGTCTTCATAAGGCTGAGTGCTTGTCTTGCATTAAATCCTCTCAGATTGAAGGTATAGTTCCTGAAATAATAATCTAGACACATTATTGAACAAGCACTAAAGTGGCATAAAAGGAAAAAACACATAAATCTAGACAAACTTACAAAAAAACCAACAAAACAGTTGTTGGAAAGAGAATAAAAAAAAAAGTTGAATTCAAATGATTTAGTAAACAATTGTGTGAGTTAGATAGCATGAAGAAGAACTTGGTATCACTATGTGGCTAACAAACAAACAAAAGGTACCAGAAGAACGGAATCCCTTGCCGCAAGAGCAATTATGTCAGCACAAGACACAACCCCAGGACATGCTTGCTCCACCTCACTCTTAATCAAGTCAATTTTGTCAAAACCTCTCAACGTCTGATTAGGCACAGCCTGCTTCTCCACGGAACGGTTCCTATCACCATTGTTCTCATCCAACAACAACGAAGCATCACATCCCTGATTCAAACCAACAAAAGAAAGTCTAGTTGCAATTTTTAACATACACAAAAAATAAAAATGTCATCAAATTCTAGATTACCACGTTTCATAATATCATCATATAATAATAATCACTTCAAAAGTCCTGTTTAGGGTAACTTTTACATAGTCGACAATGCATCAAAATTAAACTAAAAAAAATCAACAAGAAAGAGATATCTATATAACAGCACAAGATCATGATGAAAACTACTAAGATTAGCCTGGTGGTGAAGGTGCGGTAGTATGTACTAGATTCGAAACTCAATACAACCAAGATCATGATGAAAATTTAGGATCTTCATGATTCACTACTCCAAGTTTAAACAGCACAATCAAAGAATGAATCAAAAAAAGCAATCAAGAAGGACCCATTTGAATGAACATAACAAAAGACTCACTATTCATGGTCTTGCAAGCAAGTAACTGATAAAACCAAAAACACCCCATTTGCCATTTCAACACGAAGCACGAAACTTTAGAGAAAAATAAGGAACCCCAAAGAAAGAGCAGTATGCATAAGGTACTAAGTTGGAAACTCGGTGCAACCAATATCATGATGAAAATTCACGACATTCACGATTCACTAGTCCAAGTTTAAACATCACACTCAAATAACGAATCAAGAAAATCAATCAAGAAGGACCTACTAGAATTGACATAACAAAGACACTTAACCCATGGACTTGGAAGCACGAAACTGAAAAAAAAAAAAAAAAACCGAAACCACCCCATTTGCGGTTCGAACAAAAAGCACGAAACTTGAAAGAAAAAGAAAGAAGCCCAGAAGGAAAAAGAAGGACCTGGATGAAGCAATCGTGGAAGAAGAGACGCAGCAGAGCCGGCGCAACGTCCCTGTGGTCGAAGTAGATTCTTGTGAGCGCGGAACGCACGATGGTCTCGGCTTGGGGACACGTGTCCCTGTAGAAATCGTATTGAAGATTGGAGCCGTCACGGATTCGCTGGTTGAAGGGGAAAGAGTTGGCAAGGTTGACGGAGAAGGAAGAAGAAGAATCGGAGAAAGAAAGAGTGGTTTGGGTTTCCCCTCGCGGGCTTCTGAGAGAGAGGAGCACAGGGACCACGAGTGCCACAACGATCCACAAGCTGATGCAGCTTCGCATTTTGCTTCTTTCTGAAGAATCTTTGGTGCAGAGAAGAGAAGAGAAGAGAAAAAAAGAAGCGGGAACTTATGTTACTTCTTATAACTCCTTCATTGCTTATTACTTATTACTTCTTGTCATAAACAGACAAGGGTTCATTACCTGCAAGCATTTGGGCTCTGTTGGGCCTCGGGTTTTATGGGCCCAGTAATCATCTTGCTTAGGATCATGATATATACATCTCTTCTTTTTTCTTTTTTCTTTTTTTATAAATACGCTCCTTTTTTAAAAAAATAATTAAAATTTTAAATTATTTTTAATTTATATTATTTTTAATTTTTTAATTTTACATTCCTAATATTTAATTAACACTTTTTTTAAATACTTTTTTCTCTTATTTTTACATGCACCCCTTAATTTTTCTTCATTCCTACCTATTTTGGTAAGTAATTTTAATTCTTTTAGTTTTACATTATTCTTTTCCCTTCCTCTTTTAGTTTTCTCATTGATTTCACTATCCGTATATTACTCTAGAATACTGAAAATGCCTTTTTCATAACACTAAACTTAATGTTAAGGTTTTTGGAAAGGTGAAAGAAAAGGAAGTGTCAGAAGTTTGATAGAAACTGTCGAGGAAGCTACATGTACCTACAATGTTGTTGCCTACCAGTTCAATAATTTGGGTACATGTGAAAAAAATGAAAGAGATGAAAAAATAAGAGAGTAATATAAAAGTTGAGAACTAAAAGTACCCACTGAAATAGGTGATGATGAATTAAAGGAAGACAAGATGGTGCATGTAAAAACTGGAAAAGAGAAAGAAGGAGATATAAAAAAATAGTAAATTGAAAGTTAGAGACGTAAAATTAAAATTTTAAAAATAAAAAAAAATTATGGATATTTTAGGATTTTTTTTTTTAAATAAAGGAGTCGTACAGTGTACTTAAATAAAAAAAAAAAAAAAAGGGGGTATATATCATTAACCTCTTGCTTAATATTGTTCCTGAAGGTGGAATAAATTTGGTGGGCAGAATGTGTATTGTGCAATCATGTGAGTTTTCGTTTGATTTGATGTTGGAAAAATGATTTAAAAAAAAAAAAAAAAACTACACGGAAAACTTCATTTGTATTTAAAGATAATGTTTTCGAAGTAAATTAAAAAAAATTGTTTGCTTTATTTAGAACTGTGTGAAAATGAAGGAGAGAGGAGGAATTCTTTTCAAAAACTTCTTGTTTTTAAATATTTGAGTCCCTTCCTTCTCTTTTCTTATATTAAAATCTCTTCTCTTACACTTGAATATTTTTCTCCTTCCTTGAATCAAATAATGAGGTTTAGGATTTAGAGTATTGGGTACAGAGATGCTGTTAACACTATTTGATTTTTTGTAATATTTTATTATTAAATCAATTGTTATAAAAGTAAAATTTTATGGTTGTTCTTTCAACAATTAGCAATCTTAATTTAAAAAGTTTATTTTATTTTTTTAGACTTAAATATGTTTTTATCACCGTAAAATGAACATATTTTGATTTTAATTTATGTAAAACTTTTTTTTTTTGTTTTTCATCTCTAAAATTTGGAGTCAATGTTTTTAGTCCTTAATAAGAACAAATTTTAATTTTGATCCCTATAAAATATTCTTTCTCTTTGATTCCCATCTCTTTAAAATTTAAAGTTATTATTTATTGTCCAATGTTCATTTTAAAGTAAATAAATAATATTTATTTTAATAATTTATAAATAAAAAAAATAGAAGTATCACATACTAAGATAGTATAAAAATACAATTGTGGATGTCACTAGAGATGATCACTCAAGCATAAAATAAACACAAAGGTAATTAAAAATAACTAACATACTAAAAACATTAATTTCAATTTTAAAGGATGAAAAATATAAAATAAATAAATAAATAAAATTACAGGAACAAAATAAAATAAATAAATAAATAAATAAAAACTCATTTTATATGGACTGAAAACTTATTTCATCTCACAAAACCTTTTACATAAATAAAAAAAATCATACATATTAAGTGTCATGATTTTATTAAAAGATAATATATTCAATGGTAATTTCCTTTTTAGCTTTGAGTACATTAAAGATGTACAATATAACAATGTTTGAATTCTGTTACAACATTTTCTTAATAAAAAAAAAACATGTAATACAACAAAATTTTGACTTTAGTTTATAATAAAATAAAATTTCCACTTTTCCCTTTTAATCAGCATTTTCTTAATGCATGAACCACATAAATTTCCACAAGCTAGTTATGTATATCTCTCACTTCTACATGCCAATGGTCATTATGTACCAAAATTTGCAGCATTGTGGACAGGTTTAAAGGTTATAATAGGAGCCCCAATAACAAACAATCATAGCTATTGGGTGCAAGCATAACATTTTCAATTTGATATTACTTTGATTGATACCTCTTCCTAAGCCTGGCATGTCACGGTACTAAAAGAACATTGTTTTGAAACGTGTGAATTAATATGAAAAATCATGCATCATGTGGATGATCAAGACTTTTGTCTCGTTTCTTAAGAACTGCACCAGTTAACAGGAAATTTTTCAAGAGAATTGCTAAAGATTTCAAGTTGAACATCCAAAGTTCCAGTTACAACTAATAGTCAACATGTTAGTAACACATCAGAAACAAAATTTGGCCAAAGCTATTTTTTTCTCTTTTGCTTTGGAAATTGCGCAAAACTTTGTTTCACACATAATACAAAAAAAGGCTTAGAAGGGATGGCTCATGACTGATTAAACTAACTTTTCCACACTGAAAGGCCAAAAGCACCTAATGGCTGTTTAGAAATTCACAAAAGCAATTAAATATACAATGCAATTGTTATTCTATACTTCATTAACATCACAGCCAGCACACCACAGAGGAGATGTTTTCAAGGGTGTAGAAGAATTTACAAATACATCTAATCTACTTTGAAATCTCACTTCATTGGTTTTTAACAAGGCAGGGAGAGGAAAACACACACCCATTTCTACACACATTTTATGCCTAGGCTTAATTCTATTCTCTAGGCTAAATGAGAAATACTGTGGGAATTCTTTCAGCTCCTTCAAATCTCTCCCCATCTCCACCACAAAGTAACTGTATTTAGGCTCCAAATTATTTTTAATACTATAACAAAAGAGTGCAGGAAACCTTTGAAACATTGAAGTTGCATCGCGGCGCGAAAACCCAATATTCTCAAAGTAATCAATCCTGGGCATGAACTTTTCTTCAACACTACAGGATAGCAAATCAGTGTGCTTGTTTACCTCTTCTATGCCAATACTTTGGAGGAAGTATAGGGTAGGACGAAGTTGCTTACTAACACTGCAGACAAGCAACCTAGGACGACGATTTATGACCCGCTTGATATCCGAGCCAAGCACATGAACCTCGCGATGAAGGAAGGTGAAGACTGGAATGAGGTCTGAGACTGGGGTGGTCAGGATCTCGGGGCACATGCCAACCATTCGCCGAAACTCAATTGCGGTGAAATCCATGGAGGTGATGTATTCCACGGTGGATCTTATGTCACCAAGAGAGGTGGTGATCAGCGTCGGGTGGTTTTCAATAAGTGAGAAAGAGTCGATACCAATAGATTCCAGATACAGGAGTTTCTTTTGGAAACCGGTATCACAATTAGGAGGGAGTGTTTGCTTTGGACATCTCCACTTTATAACCTGTAGTACAAAAGAAGCACAGGAATTTTCAAGATGATGAAAATTTATTCATTAATCAAACAATTTGACATGCAAGCAAATAGTCCATTCTCTCACTGAAAAGAAAGTGTATTATTGACACCAAAATGTACCATACAGTCTCCCAATAGAAAACAGAATGTGTTTCAAAATCTTGTTCTACATTAAAATGGATGCTCACTACATGAAAATAATATGCAATAGCAAAGGTTAACCGAGAGTAATTTCTCAAAATGATAGTTTTATCACAAAAAGTAATTATTTTGTCATACAGTTGATACATTGCATATTCCAACAGGATATTCGCTGAATGCAAATTTAGACAACCAATGCCCTAATTGAACCATGGAACAAGATTTTTATTCCCCTATAGATTGAATTTTATAGCTAAAGCTAGATTTGTTTCCTAGCGTCAATTCTATCAGCATTTTCCTTTTTCTATAACAATTACTCAGTAAGGGCAATCAAAATTAGAAAACAACATGTTGAACATACAATGCAGATAAAAAATAAAAAAATATAAAAAAAAAATCCCCCATTCCAAGGCAAGAGCATGTTTGTTAAAGTTTCAAATCACAAACTTGTATGGTTTTATGTTTTTGCATATGAAAAATGAGCCAGATTGCTTGTAAACTCCACTTGGCTTCAATCTCAGATGAACTCAGCTGAACTCTAAAATTCATGAGTACATAGCAATGCTGCAAAAATCCCTCAAAACAACAGAGTTTAAGTGTTGCTTCCTCCCTTTTGTTTTGTTCTGAAGTAAGTCAATCAAAACCCACAAGACTCATGTCTGCAAAACCAACAACCGGAAGCCAGCAACCTATGAAAGGACCAGCCAACCACAAACAGAAGGCAGCAACCAGCAAAAGAACTAATCACACCCTTCTAACTTGCAAATTGAAAGCAATAAGAGGTTTGCATTGAGCCCTTGACTGCCTTCATATATTTTTAAAACTGAAACCTGCATATCCAAACTCCAAAAACAAAAGGCCAGCAACCCTCTTCTCAATTATTTTATTTTCGTATTTGTCAATCAATTAGTTTCTTTCAATTGTTATTACTAAAAGCATAATTTTTTTGGTTTATTTTTCCAATCATATAGAGACTGAAATTTGAGAACTTCATTACTTAGATGGTTGACAAAGTTTACAAGTCTAGTTTACCAACCCTCTACGAGTTTACATAAACTCTTGAATTTGGCAATCTTGATTAAGATTACTATGTAAAAAACTAAGAACTAATTGTATTAGAAGCAGCTCAATGAATACAGAAATTGAGCATAAGAAGATGAATGAACTTCCAATTTGGAATTCCAAGTTTTCCCCTTTGTGCTACTAAATTCTTAACCAAATACACCACAACACAATTCCAATTCACGAAAGACCATACGCACCATGTATCTACTTTGAAGCCAAGGAATCGTCAAGCATTTAAAAATGAAAAGGTATTTAACAGCAATTAGCCAATGCTTACAAACTAGACAACACTCAATACTGCATCTCTTTCGAGAAAAGTAGGTACCAAGGAACAATTTTCTCCAAAACATAACCAATAACCATGTAAAAACTTCAAAGAATTTTTTCAAAAGTAGGCTAAATCCTAGATGTTACAGAACTTTCCCTCCGCTGAATACTACCGAAACTTCATATAACATTACCAGCAGCAATTTCTACTTTGGTACCACACCTTGAGAAAGTAAAATATTACACAAGCTTTTGCACACACAAAAATACCCCCTCCCCAATTGAAAAATAAATAAATAAATAAATCATATCCATTCACGGGGCAAAGAACACTATAGGATTCAACAATAAAATGAAACACCCAAATCCAAAAATACCTCCCAACCTTGCCAAGGACAACCAACAAGTTCATAACACGAGTAAACAATTAAGCATAGACCCAGAAAGAAAAATCGAAACTTGAGCATCATTGAGCATAGACCCAGCAACAAAAATCCAAACTTGACAATAGCCAACCACAATTTGGCAGCTCCTAATATACCATGAAGCAAAAAAAAAAAAGAAAAAAAAAACTTTTTTACAACATTGGGACAAGAGGGTGAGGCAGGAACACTCACAGTAGCTCTTACAAAGAACTTCGGTCTCCTGCAATGGAAGAAGGGGAAGGAAGTGGGGACCCTAGAATGGAAGGGCTTGCAGAGGCCAGTGAAGGATTTGGGAATGGTTGGAGAGGGAGAGAGAGAGTGGTGTTCAGTGGGGAACATGGGGTTGTGGGAGAAGAGAGTGGTGGCGGTGGCAGCAGAGGCCATTTGGGTGTGAAGGGATAACAGCAAGGCAGAAGAAGAAGGGTTGTGGTGTGTGTGTGTGATGTGGCTATGTATGAACACTGAATGTTGAATAGTAATAGAGCAATAGGATTGTTGGCGTGTGCTTCCAATTGGAGAAATGGTGGATGAGATGATAGAGAGAATTCCTGCGTGTCACCTCTTGTGGGGTCCTTTCTTTCTCTACACTTCCACATCCATACGTTTGGAAAATCAGTGTCTTGTACACACAAATGACATGTTCTTGAAAAAATTATTCATGCTGTGTCAATTTTATTATTTTTAACTGTATTTTATTTTACATATTTTTTAACTGCATCTTCATCTGTTTTTTTATTTTTATTTTTATTTATGAAGAGAAGAGGCTAAAAGCCCAGAGCAGACAATAACAACACTACATCAGAGTTAAAAATCTGGTCGCAAGAGGCGGATGCAATGTTTTTTTAAGAAATTGATTTAACATTAATCGGTTGAATTATGATAAAATTGATATTAATAAAATATTAATAATTATTATTTTTAATAATATAAAAATAATATTAAATAAATATAATATCATAATTTTAGAATATTAAAAATTAAAATAAAATATTATTTATGAGTTATCTGATGGATAATGGGATTATTTCTTAATTTTATTGTTTGTAATTGAATTGTACGTGTGAGGGATTAAATTCAATTTTATTTGTAATTGCAATATGTGACTATTGTCTCTTGATTTTTATGAATGTGTAATTGTGTTATTGATATGTGAGTTGTTTTGTTTATGAATTTAAATATCTGCGAGTTATATGAGAAAACCCTAAAAATTTATAATTGAACAACAATTATTGGAGAAACGATTTCGAATAAGAACCCTCGTAATAAGAACAAATTAATTAGACGGTAGATATCTCTTGTTAGCATGAATTCATGATAAGTAGTAAAATTCAAATTGAGAGTGGAACTAACAATTATGTAGAAAAACAAGTTACTCACACTAGACCAGACGCCACTTAAGAGATGCCAAGCGTTAAAATCCAAAATGCTTGCAGCATCATTGACATCGGGTGTGAGTTGCTCATGTAAGGCATGGGAGCTCCAAGAGCTCCCTATTATGATTTCGTTAGGCATGGGTAGGGTCACGCCAATCGTGATCCTTGCAGAGGCTCTCAATCTCAAATGCATTAGGCACAGGGTAAGCCACATCAAGCGCTACCTTACTCCTAAAACTAAATTATTTACTCATTTGATCAATGAATGTGAATTAATTATTAGTTAACCCTTATGAACCAAAAATGAGATATAATGATGTGCATAGAATGGGAGATTAAGAATGTGAGTGGTATTGATATGAGCTGATGATATTGTGAAATATGTGAAATGCGATAAGTGTTAGTGGTCTTGTGAATAAGTATAAGTATAACTTAGCAAGTTTGTGAATTGTGGAATGTGAACTTTGAGAATATGAATTTGTGACCATGCATAAGAACCTGCATAACATGCATCATTTGTATAACGTGTTTTTTGATGGGTACGATGAAAAAATATACTATTAAGGAAGGTCCCCTTGTGTAAAAGCATGGGGATTTCATGACCTTGGGGATAGTTAGGTTTGGGAGCCCAATCCTGCCACTTTGTGTGTATGGGATGAAACTTGGCCAATATAGTTATCCTGACGTGCCACTGGTGCATTTTCTCCTAGTGTAAAATATTGTGATGGGATAATGATGAAGTGTTTCACTGGTGTCAGTGTCACATGCATGTAGTTAGGAAAGTTTTGTTCTTGCATGAGTATAGAATACCCTTGTGTTTAAAATGTGACATTAATGTGATGAGATAAAATATAATTGGATGATTATTAACTTGATTATTATATTGTTATCAATGGGATAATTAATGTTGATTATTGTATGATTATGCTATGTTGTTGTATGTGTGTGGCTACCTGGCCATTTCTTACATCAATAGTTGGAGTGAGATATGTTCTCACTCCCCTATTTTCTTTATCTCTTGTTTTGGTATGTTTATGCAAGTGAATTTAATTTTGTAAGAGTTTGAATTGTTGGTGGGATCGCTTTGATAGGATGTAACATTGAGGCTTTAAATATGACTTATTTTCTGTTTTATTAGGAATTAGTTTCTTTTCTTTGAGAATATTTTTGCATTATTTATTATTCCTTGTGATTGTCTTAGTTTTAATCTTGTTATTTTTTGAGTTTTGAATATAATACCTTTATCTTTAGTTTTAATTTATTTAATAAAATATTTTTCAAACTATTATTTTTATATTATTAAATTTATGCAAGAGGGGTAGATGGTGTCACATTTTACCAATTTTGGATCAATTTTCTATCAATTCATTGCAAAAATAGTTTTCTAAGCCAACCAAACCAGTTAAGGATAGACCTTAGTCAAATTGGTCTAATTGACCGATTCAGTCCGATTCCAAAATCATGGGCAGAGGAGACTCAAAATACAGGCATCATCCTCTAAAAAGAGACCAAAGTTTGCAAAAGAATCAGTAATCATATTATGATTCTTATTGATGTGAGCCCACTTAACATGATGAAACGAACATACTACATAAACGATGGAATCCAAAAGAGAGATACAGTCTTTGTTTGACATGGTGGCTCCATCATTCTATGATAGGGCTTAAGAAGAGTCCAAAAAAATAGCCAAATGAGTGAACTCTTTGGCAAAAGCTAGTCTTAATCCATGGATAATGCCCCAAAGTTCAACGTGGATCACGTGTGTAGACTCCAAATTATGAGAAAAGCCCTCAACATAGTTACCAAGATGATTATGGATAAAAACACCACAAAGCAACCTTATGGTATAGGGTGGAAACTGCACCATCACAAAAGACTTTGACCCATGGATGAGGTAGTGGGTCTCTACAGGTTTTGAAAATGAAAGAACCTTCCATGGTCTCTTTGAGCTTGCTCAATCTCCTCAACTCGTCTCGTCTTGTTGGTCAACAAAGAGGAATTTATTTCACATTACTAGCATATTAAATGCACTTCGTACCTACATATATTTTTTTAAAAAAATTGTAATTAATAACAAGATGTGAATAGTTTTTAAGTTGTTATGCTTATAAGGGTAAATGAAAGAGAAAGAAAGAGTAACTTAATAGATAATTTTAAGGCTAAGTGTAACTTGAGAGTTGAGATTAAGATGGGATGAATTATGCTAACATAAGATGTGATTATCTGTGTTTAGATGCTACTCATATTTCCAATGTGCATATAGATGTATAAGATATTCTAACTCTTTTTTCTTTGTTGTTGATTTTTTTGTTTGGGTTGAACGCGGATCAAGTAGATAAGTTTGAGCCTATGAGAGACGAAGTTTAAGCTTAGGTTTATGTTTTGATGGGATTGCTCTTATTAGTGCTACATTAAAGCTTAAGGATTATAGTTAATGTTTTCTTTGTTTATGTTTATTTTGAGAACTTTGTCTTAGATTTTAGAGTTCTTTTCATCATTGTTTTGTTTTTATTTAAATTTGTTAGCAGAACTTGTAGATGTTGGTTTATGCCTATTTATGAACTTATTCTTATTTTGTTTCTATTTAATACAAATTGTTTTATTTAGTGAACTTAAGGATGTGAATCCTTTTAACTTGCATGCGAACTTTTTATTTTTTATTTTATAATAAACATCCATTTTATTATTATATTATATTAAAATGATTTGGGATAGAAGGGTATTACAAAAGTAAGTTAGAGAATTTATATACATATAATCATCAAAAAAAAGTCCTTGATAAAACAACATACAAAAGACCCCTTTACGAGCCTACTATTGACTCCAAACCAAAAGTGGTTCTAATTATGACAAACAACCAATATGGAAATTACAAGAATAATACACAAAGATTAAGATATATGACATTTACTAAGTGTTTTATGTAAGAGAGTAGAATAAATAAAAGCAAGTCTTCTAAAGAGTTCATAATGAAGTTAGAACAGATGAACCTTTGTACATCATGGAATATCTAGAAAGATCTAAATGAAGTTCATCTAAAAACATGGAAGCATACACATCTTTGATGTCTTGGTTCTAGCACAAGTGTCAATTAATGTACTGTATAGAAAATACATCTCAGTATACTATATATGAACTACATTAGCAACTGCATCAAAATGATGTTTTAACTTGAAGAGTTATTAGACTTTTGTTCAACAAAACCTTTAAACCCTCAATTGAAAGATCATCAAAATGGTTGGTGATACCATCATTTGTAAATCAATTGCAAATCTTGACTCATCAACTACATGAATATTAATGATGTATATCCTTGAGAAAGCTTCTAAATGAAGCATCAAAACAATTTGTGAGCCAAGGACTAACCACTAACCAAACAAATAACAACCTAAAAATGATTAAAATGTTTTTTGTTTTATATAAAGTCTCTATGTCAAAATATAAGACGGAGTCCACTAAAGGAAGAAAAAGATCAAAGGTAAACTTCAAAAAAGGACAATCAAAATGAACCATCACTTGTACACCAAAATGAGCAATCTCAAAATAATCAGATGATCATCAGTTGTGAAAATATGTTCATTGAGATAGTAGTGTCATATACAAGATGAAGAAAAAGATGACCAAAATACCTCCTACAAAAAAGGGTCCATATCAAGAGATAAGATAAAGACAACTAAGTGATAAAGGAGATTAGGATAGATGTAAAGATTCTTATATTATGCCATCAAAATGGAGGAAATCTAGTCATGAAGAATATGTGCATAAAAGTGAGATGCAACTTAATTTGAGTATTATATTAAGATAAGGATGTGAATGAAGAATTAGCTTGTAACAATTTTGACAAGTCAATACACTTACTACAACACAACGACTAATCAACAAAAAACATAAACATCATCTAACCTATGATTCTCATGCAAGTATACATGCAACAATATATGTATCGAAGCAAAAAAACTTCAAACAATCCTTACTTATAACAACTTGAAAACATAAAGTCTTTCAATGAGATAACAACAAAATCTTGTACATATATATATGCGTTTTGTTATGAATTTGCAAGCTTTTACACAATGAGACCTTCTCTGATAGCGCATTCCATATTGTATCCATCAAATGCAATATCATGTTATCACGGTGCTCATTCACAA